GGTTCTTACCAGCAAAAATTTACAATGTTTCTTCATTCAAAAAATCATCCAGCATGATGCCTGTGGAAACCACAGATAGCACACGCCATTTAAACAAACAAACAAGTTTTAGTTTGCCCATAATCACATAAAATCAACAAATTCCTATGTTAATTATTTATTTTCATGGGAAAATAATTTTTAACCTAAGTAAAATCTGGCTTATATGCAAGATTATGATTTTTTCAAACTAAAACATCTACTTTATTGCATGTTGTCATTCGAAGAATGTCAGACAGGGTGCATTGTATTTCATCAGTGAAAATAGTTTTCTCGAATATCTAATACCATTGACAAATATAAATCTATGCCTTTGAACTAGTTCTAGAAGAAGAAATTGCTGTGATCCCTTTTGTATGGCATGGATTAGTTTTTTTTAAAATGAACATGATGTTAAAAGAAGGGAAATAGAGGTCAAGATAAACACATAAAAATCATTACAAAATAGTTGTATGCTCACAGACAAAAAGAATAAAGACAGCATGATACATGAGAAAATATCTCTGTCATCCTCTCCAACAGTGCGTGGTGATAATGGATACAAAATCGGGCATTTTCATTTTCCAGCTCTTGCTCAATAGAAATTTTTCTTTCTTGTCTTCACCCCTACACTCACCCCTGAGGTTTCACCAAGATTTTCACCAATACACACAATTTCTGTTAGTATGTTTTACATATATATATAGCCAAGGATATCATGCATATGTGTAGTTTTCCTTGTTTCAGGACACACTGTTGTTCTAGAAATCAACATAATTCAGAGGCTTGATTTCACCAATCTGATTATGCATTCCTCAGGTCACATGCATTAGACTACTGGGATTCAACCTGGGTCTTTTTTCTTTTCTGACATCTATAATATCTTTGTCTTTCCCAAGGTTTTACAGAGAAAATCTGTAGGCTCCCTGATCTCCTTTTAAACTTTACTTTTATTCACACTCCAATTTCCAGTTTAGACTGCTAATTATCCTCTTCGTGGTGCCTTAAATTTTGCCTATCTTGCCATCAACAATCTCAAGGTTGTCAAAATATATATATATATATATATAAATTAATTTGCATTTTTTGGGTCCAAGGGTAACTCATGGTTAAAGAAAAGTAACTGACTTTAACATTTGGAGTCAATAAGGAATAATATTTGGAAGAAATAAGAAACTTGCACAGACTAGGTCTAGGAGGCGTGAAAGACTGGTCATATTTTTTCAATGGAAACTATTTATGGTAAGATTAGAAGGAGAATCAGGATTAAAATCTTACATTTAAATATTTCCTGATATTAAGCCCTAAATAATCATTCATAAAAGAGAAATGCCATTGTAAAATGAGCCATTAGATTTGTTGATTAATTTTTTTTCTTTTACCACCTAAAGCTAATGTGGATAGGTATGAAAAAACAGCTGTCACAAAAAATGTATGGAGGAGAGAAATGTAATGAATTTTTTCCCATAAGTTAATAAAATATGTAGTATTTTTTCATAGTAAAAATTTTTATCCACAACACATCTGACACCCAAATCAGTATCTTATTTCTAGATAATTATGTATGACTATAACATTTCCCTCTCCACTATTCAAAAATGATCTCCTCTTAGCAAAACTGAGAGGTAGGTGAAATTTAATTATATACTACTCTTCTTCTGTTTTTCTCCATCTCCTTTCAGACCTTTCTCCAATTCTCCTCCCCTAAGGCTAAGGTGCTCAGTACTTTTATCATACTCTATCCTGTCAATATGAAAAGTAATTTGATAAATTTCTTCATATTAAAGTATTAGAAAATTAATTATCTACTAATCTCATGAGTATCTGCATTTTAAAGGAAAATTGCAGAGAAAGAACAATGCCTTAACATCCTAAATTACTTATGAATTATGGAATTTCATGCATCTCTGGGAAGATATTTAAAAGTGACGAGAGAACTACAGAATCAAATCAAACAGTGGACATGATGATCTTGTCCATTTATTTGTCTAGGTGGTCATAAGGTGGAGGCATATTTTGTTAGGAAACAACCATTAGATTTTCTCTATGTCATAGAAGATACCTGATAATGTTGGGGTACACAGTAGGTCTTACTCATATTTATTAAATAAATTATCATACTATTTGTCTTACATTCATTAAAAACATTTGAAGAATCTATTCTTTTGGTAAAATAAGAATAAGAATACATATGTTGGACCCTGTGCTGTGACCCTAAAGCCTTTGGTTTAACCTTAGCAGAAAAGTGGTGCCTATCAAATATTTAATTTATTTCTGGATATTTCCCTGTTGTTTAAAAACATCAGGAAATTACAGAGTAAATGTCTGGCATTCTGGTGTTCAGAATAGATATCAAAGAAATAAGTGATATTTCCTTAAATTGCCAAATCACAAGGTGTGAAAATGTCTTATATTTGAAGTAACATTGTCAAATACTTTTGAAAGAATTCCATTCTTCCAGTTATCTTATACTCATTATCCCGACTGATCCCTGTAACAACAGCCTCATGAGATGGACAGGTCTGCAATAACAGTAGTAATTTACTGATTCTTTATATGTGGAAACCGAGGCTACAAAATGTTGACATTACTTGTCCACAGTCACACAGTAATAAGTGGCAAAGCAAACACTAAGCCACTCTGATAAAAGGATTTATGAGAAATTCTTTTTGACAGGTATATAAATGAGTTCAAGTTAAGTTTATTTTGCATCCTAATAACCAGGCTTTTTATAGCAACCATTTCTACCATCTTTTGTGATAAGTTGACAAAATACAAGCCTATACTATAAAACATGTATCCAGTCATAATCATGTTTCTGAAAGTTTTCTATTTCTCTCTGCATAATCAGAATGTGATGACATTGGCATTATTATTTATTTAATAGTGATCAAGAACATGACATACCATATAAAGAAGAAAACCCCATCTACTCCAAAAAAAGGAAGGAAGGAAGGAAGGGAAGGAGTGAGAAAGAAAAGAAAAATACTTTTCTTTTTTATGGGTAAAAGAGACATGACATTTGATGGCAACTGTAGTCTACCATGCAAGAACTTGATGATCAATTTCATTGGATATTTCATCCCACATTTTGTGTATTTTCTATCTCCATTTTTATTTATTAATATTGGGTTGAATTCAGCTCAGCCTCACCTGCTAATTTCATTCAAATAATATGTAATTGATCCTTCAAAATAATCATCAAAGATGTTAAGGTAGATCTAATTCCTATCAAAGAATGACTAGAGTATTGCAAGAGCATTACTTCAGCCTATCTGCATGCCATTTGTTAAAAAGTTAACTTAGTCCATAATTCTTCCATTTCTTATCTAATGGTAGCAAGTAGAGTAACATGATTGTTTTGAGATAATTATAGAGATTCCTGTCTCTATTAAAAGGTTGAGTGTTATTTTTATACTGTTTCTAGCAAAATTCTTCCTTCTTACTTTTTCTTGGCTTTTAAAAACAAATCATTAGAGATGCCAGTGATATCCAGAGACAGCAAATTCTCTCAGGTCTCAAAATCCATATTTCCCAAGTTGGAAACTTGTCTACACATCCATTTTCCAAGCACTTCAGCCTTTTGCTTTTTTAAATCAATAAGCCATATTGACAAAATTTTAATTATTCCCTAAATGTGCATACCTGTTTTGATTTTTCTTATTTTCCTATAGAGAACAAAATTAACCAACTGGTCTTGTGGTATACTTTGCTCTATTCTCTTTGAACTTCAGCTTTTAACTCTAAGACAGAATAGGATCTTACGTATTGAGCCATTTGCAAACAAAATTTTAGAAAGTCAAAGAGATAAATAAAATATCCAGCTCTGTTAATAATTATCCAAAGATTAAGAAGGACAATATAATTAGGTCATGAAAAGTTTCCTTATTTCAAGCAGACTCACCAATGTTGCGTTAAAAAATGCACTTCGTAATTACAATCATGCACAAAAAGTATAGCAACCATCCAGGGTTACCTAAATGTATCTGTTTCTCAATGCTTCTTCATGCAGATCATAAAACCACTACTTCTGTGAACTATCAAGCAATGCTGATCTATTCAGTCTGCTATGAAATCAAGTATTTAACTATTTCTCTGCCCCACAATTTCAGCGAGGCTATAATCTTTGAGGGGGAGGGGGAACAACCAAGGGATTCCAGCCAAATTAACTTATTACTAGATATTTACAGTGTGTTTTTCTATAGTTTGATTTTCTTGGTGTAATTGAGATGTAATAAAGGTAGAACATGTTGCAAAAGAAAAGCAGGTGAGTAAATACCTCCAAATCCAGCTAGAAGAGAATTCCTTTCATCTCAGCCTATTGGTAAGGAAATAGATTAGATCCACATTTTCTGAACTCCCTTTGTCTACTGATAAAACTTAGAAGAGATGTGGTATACCCAGCTACCACCTACAGAATATTAGTTTAATAAGAGTAAAATAAATCTAAAAGAATAACAACATTCAGGTTAAAATACATACGCAGAGTAATTTCCTGCAAATAAATCATGTCTGACGCTAGCATGAGAATGCATGCACACACTCATGCATGTAGATAGAGATTAAACATAGCTCCAGAATGCACAAACATACAACCAATATATATTAAATGCAAACTATTATAACAAACTCAGTATTTGCTATTTTCTTTCTTTAAATCTGCTGGCCACTACCCCACTACCTCACTATTTACTTTCTCCAAAGGAAAGTAAGTGGCAAAATGAAGAGGAAAAAGTTGATAAGATAAATCCAGTTCTGGGGTTTTATAGTTTTAAATTCTGAAACATCATGAAAAATGTAGTAAATATTTATAGCACACCAAAGAAGAGAGTCATGATTACCCAATTGGCTACTAAGATCCTTAAACTTAGTTCTCAAAAGTTTAGAAATGGTTTCCTACCTCTTTTTAGACAAGACAGATTTCTAAAGCATAAAGGCTGAAAAAGAGTGAGAAATAAAAACCATAAAATAAAATTACTTACAACTGATCGGATGTTATTTTCTTTCACCAGCTTCAGAGATGATTTATAGCAATTTGCAAGGTCTTCCTTGTGGGAACCATTAATATGGCCTCTGGCTATTGGCCCTACAGTATGGATGACATCTGTAAATACAAAAGGAAGGAAAAAGAGGATAAGCAAGGTATTTTTCAGTTTTTACATAAATAATACTTTGTTTATTTTAGGTATTTGTGTTAGAGCCTGGAGACCAGCAAGCTAAGCAATACATTGGCGATGCAAATATTTCTCTGGTAGAAGATCTTAAGTAGCACAACCTCCTTAAGTAGGCAATTTCCCAGGAAGATTCTAATTGTGAAAAGGAATCCCCAACCAGTGAATTGTTTCATAGTTTTTGGTCAGATTCAAGTGACACAGATTATAGTATAAGATGTACATAATTGGTTCCCTGGAAAAAGACAAATCCTTGGTGAGAAATAAACTGAGGAATAATTGCCTGCAAAAGGAACATCTAGATTGACATGGGAAGGAAGAGCCAGTGCTAGCCTAGCTTACTTGTAAGGCAATTTTCAGGCATTGTACACAATAAAGAAAAGCAAGTTTCTGAAAGAAAAAAAAAAAAAAAGACAAGAGAATTTTTAATAATCAGTAATAACCTTAAGAAGAATAACTGCAAAACATTCCTGCCAATTTAGAAAGTGTAACCTACCAATCATCACCTACATAAGGTATGCTAATAGTTCATCCCTATTTTAATAGGTTAATAGTTAATTATCTATTTTATTGTATTATTAAAACATTCAAACATGTTAATGCAATCTATACTTTTCAACTCCTATTTATGTTGAAAAACACAAAATTTGATATTTTTATATACACAACAAGCCATTGTGCTATTCTTTCAATCTCTACGCACACATAAACTTTTAACTTTAGGAACGTAGTGAAAGAGGACTGTTCTCATTTTAAGAAACAGTAGAAGAAAAACCCCACATTTTAATCAAATTTACTTGAAAATGCCTTGTAACTCTTGCTTGCCAGTCTTATCGGTGAATTGAATTATTAGTCCATTTCATTGATGTAAATCATAACAACTAATCAACTTTGATCACAAAGACAAATTCAATCTAATGTAATTGGAATATTATAATGAAACTATTTGTGTTGACTAATCAGTATCACTCAATTCCAACAAGAATGACAGAAGAATAAGAGTATTCAAAAATAAGAATATGGTATAGTTAAAAAATGCATATGGCATTTGAATATCAGCAAATAAGTCACTATAAGAAAAATCTCGCCGAGCATGGTGGACCACGCCTGTGATCCAAGCACTTTGGGAGGCTGAGGTGGGCAGATCACGAGGTCAGGAGATCGAGACCATTCTGGCCAACTTAATAAAATCCCGTCTCTACTAAAAATACAAAAATTAGCTGGGCATGGTGGTGCATGCCTGTAATCCCAGCTACTTGGGAGACTGAGGCAGGAGAATCACTTGAACCAGGGAGTCGGAGGTTGCAGTGAGCAGAGATCGCACCACTGCACTCCAGCCTGACGACAGAGTGAGACTCTGTCTCACAAAAAGAAAGAGAAAAAAGAAAAGAAAAATCTCCGTTGGTTGCCCACTAAATGTTGATACTACTATTTGATGTTTGAGAAAATACCTAAAGCATTGGTTTCCATGATTAATTCTGAAACAGTATTTAAACCCTTGTCAGCCGATATTAAAGAGGGGCTCATGTGATCAAAGGAGGCATACAAAACTTCACTAATAAACTCACGCAGATGTTGTTTAACAGGTAAACTTACTTTTAAAGTGAGAACCACTACAATATAGAAGTGAAGGATGAAGGGGCTTGAGGTGTACTCAGGAAAAAAAATAACACACAGTGATATCTTTTTTTGGAACAAAAGTAACAAGCAAGAGTTGCATAAATTCAAGCAATACAAGTCCTGTACCATAGTAAATATATATGAATACTGTACTTTAGTTTCTTTAGTGAATGTTAGAATCCATAAAGGAAGGAGATTGTGCTTAGCCTTACTTTATTTCCCCCCTTGTGGCTACTTGTTATTTATACCCAACTATGATATTCTACGTTTTCTAATGGATACAAATGGCAGAAAAATTGAACTGGAATAACACACAATTCTATAAAGCAGCATTTCCCCAAATGGGTTCGGTATGATATGGGTTTAAAGTTCAATTAAATTTGAAAAAAAAAAAAAGGTGAAATTATATCACACCAGTTACCTTACTGCAAGACTTCAGTGGGTATTTAAAATGCCATAAGGAGTTGCGCATCTCCAGGAGGAGAATACAAAATGCTGTTTCCTAAATCCAGTTGACGATTGAAACCTGTACTTTGAAGAACACTTCATAGGACTAGATTTCCACAATTTTACCTTTGGGAAATGTTGTTCCAGGGCCATTTTGGCACTCTTGTTCCCACTGTTGAAGGCAAAGTCTATGCTTTTTACCCCCTTCCCTACTGCTTCTAAACATCAAACACTTAATATACGAAAGAACAACGGGACATAACTGTGGTTCTCTTATTTTGTGGATGGAGAAGATCAAGAATAAGTGCCTCTTATCTGGAGTCATAAAAGACATTGAGCAAAGTAAAGAGGAGGCTTAGAGATATTAACGGGGGCGGGGTGGGAGGACGGGAAAGAGGGAGGGAGGAGAGAGGGAGGGATAAGGGAGAAACAGAGAAAGAGAAAGCGAGAAAAGCCCGTTAAGTGTAGGAAATAGTGACATCATAAACTTTTCCTTTGCTGTCCTTTAGTCATCATCATCTACAAAACTTAAATGAAATTTAGGAAAAATTATTCCTTGCATTTCTTTAGTTCTCCATTTCATTTAAAGGTCTGAGGATAAACAGGCAATAAATGAGCCTCCTCAGCATTAAAATATTGATCTTTGTATTTATGCTCTATATTGAATTTACAGCATCCAAGATCAAGTGTTATTATCGACCAACATGATGACCTCTCAGATCCACAAAGCTGGAGGTGAATCAATATGAGGCTAGACAGGAAATCTCCTTCATTATTGTAATTGTCCGTAGTACTTATGAGTAACTACTCCACGCTGAGTTTCTCGTTTTCTGTTAGAAAATTCAGTCAGGAGGCCTGTCTTTGAATTCCTGCTCCAGCCCTTTAGTCATCATGTCTTAGATAAACCCATCATTTCAGTGGTCCTTGCCTTTTTCCTTATCTGTAAAATAAATCTCCTGTTTAGATTATCTCTGTTGTCTCTTCTGTGTTGTGTAGCATTATTATTAATATCTAACCTTATAATAGAGATGGATAGAAAATAGAATGATATCTGGGCAGTTAAAAGTGATCTTAAACATGGTTAAGCAGCTCACGGATTCTAAGAATTCTTTTTAATATCAAAATATCATGACTAATTATTCACAATAATAGTTTCAAAATCCATTGAGAACATGTTAGAGACAAAGAGCTATTATAATTTTAATGATGCTTTGTATTGATTTATGTTTTATTAAACACAGTAGCATCTTCATAGTGGACATATATATGTAATACACATGGATGCAAAGTCTATGGACAATGCTTTATCTTGCACATGAGTTTTGAATCCCTTGGTATAAATAAGATAATGTAAACAGAAGTATTAAATTCAAAGTCTGATACATAGGAAGGCTCAAGAAATGGTAAATGTCATCGTCAACAGCAGCAGACAAGGAATCCTCAGCACACAGGCAGGAATGACAGAAAGTTATCATCTCTTTACTCATGTGGAAAGAACACCAATTCTAAGATCTGACTACAGGTTATAAGTCCCAGATCTGTCACTAATCAGCTATGTGACCTTGTGCAAGTCACTCTCCTCTTTGGCCTTCAGTATTCAAAGTCAAAAAAAGGAATAAATCAGAAGAGCATTTTTTTTTTCAGCTCTCCAGTGCATTTCCTTCTGTACATGTCTAACAGGAACTGAGCTACAGATTCTAAGAAGTCTAATTTATTTTTGTCCAGATAAATGAGCATCAATCATGGTTCACGTTTCTCAAACACGATTATACAGTGAAGTGCAAATTGGCACTATCCCCAGAGAAAATGATTTAATCATATCTAACAAAATTACAAACGTAGACTTCTTTTGATCCAGCAGTTCTATTCCTAGAAATGTATCCGAAAGATAATATACTTGTCCATATGCAGAATAGTATTTACACAGGCCATTCCCTGAAACATTATATGTAATAAGGCAAGATGGGAAACATCTAAATGTCCAACAATAGGGGACAGACTAAACGATGTTAGTAAAACGATGGTTCATTTATACTATGAAATATTACCCTTCTGTAAAACAAAGAAGGCCTTCATGTATGCATACGGAAAGATACCCAAGATACATTACAATGTAAAAATAAAATTCAGAAAAGCACACTACCATTAGTGTTTAAAAAAACTCCTCTACCGATGTAGGGAAGAATACAGGTTTGTTTTAGTTACATGTATAAAACATCTCTGGAAGGATAAACTAGCAGTTAATAACAATAGTTACCTACCAGGGGAGTGACAGAAACTAGAAAGATGGGGGCGAATATGGGGAGGAAATTTTCACTGCTTTTATTTTTTGATGTTCAAGTTATGTGAATATATTAGCTGTTCAAAAATTAAATAAAACATTTAAACAAAGAGTATATGATTTATTAATCCATATTCCTGAATCCCATTTACTCTATCCCTGTAACATTAAAGATCATTAATGTGCTTTCCAAAGATGAGCTTATATCATTACACATATAAAAATACTCTTAAAGAAAAAGATCGATATAATTTCAAGGAATTTAACAGAATGACTCCCCTAGGTATATCTTTCTTTTATTTTCCTACCCTCAATAATTTCCTTATATTAAAAAATTATTTTCAGATAAACATAGGGTTTAAATGATGAACAAGAGGGCATTTTTTCCTACATGGCTAGCATCTACTATTAAAGTTTTACTATAATTTTAATATGCAAACTGAGTGTGACATCCCTTAAAGTGGTAACACAGGATAGGAGCATATATATATATAATATAATAAATAATATGATATATATTTTTTAAGAACAGAAGTCCTTCCCTTCCTGTTCCCCAGGGTGTAGTGCAGTGGTGCAATCTCGGCT